GATGAGAAATATATAGTTGGCCACAAGTTCCTAGCTAAAAGGCAATTGTTCTCAATGGAATTGGAGGGAATTGGAGACATAGAGGAGGAAGAAGAAATTGAGATGGAAGTAGAGTTGGGAGAAGAAGAACATCGGGGAATAATAGAACCTCTTGAAAATTGTGCTATTTCCCAGCAGGCCTTAAATGGAACTATGGGTTACCAGACTTTAAGAATTAAGGGATTCACAAAGAAGAAATCACTAGAGATCTGTATTGATTGTGGTTCCACTCAAAACTTCATAGATGAAGATTCTATTAGAATGTTAGGTTGCAAAATTAGTAAGATCAAGCCCTAGTTAGTGCAAGTAGCAGATGGTAGGGAGGTACCAATAGATAAAGTGTGTAAAGGGTTTCAATGGTTGATGCAAGGTGCAGTGTTCCAGGATGACTTCTTAGTGTTTCTCATTGACAAGAGTGATGTAGTACTGGGAGTACAATGGCTCTATCCCTTGGAGGACATCCGATTCAATTTTAGAAAGCTTATGATTGAATTTGACTACAAGGGAAAGTTGCTTACTCTGCATGGAATACAACCCCCCCCCCCCCCCCTTTAAAACTATGAATGCTAAATCTTTGGAGAAAATGTCAATTGGGGGTTCACAACTTTTTATGATCAAAGTAATGATAGAAGAGAAGGAGGCAAATGTGACAAAGGTCCTTGGGGAAGCTCAACTTGGAGAAGAACCTGTAGAGATCCAAGAAGTCCTTGATAAATATGTTGATGTATTTGGTGGTCCAACTCAACTACCCTCATCTAGAAGGGTATTTGACCACCATATTCTATTAATAGAGGGTGCTTCTCCAGTTAATTCCAGGCCTTACATATACTCACCACTTCAAAAAGATGTTATTAAATCCATGGTGAGAGAAATGATGAATCAGGGATCCAGTACAACTCAAGTCCATTATGCATCACCTGTGGTGCTAGTACGGAAGAAAGATGGATCTTGGAGATTATGTGTAAATTATAGAGCCTTGAACAAGGCAACTGTTAAGGACAAGTTCCCAATTCCTGTTATTGAGGAACTATTGGATGAACAAGGGGGGATCTCAAATCTATTCAAAGATAGATTTAATGGCAGGATACCATCAGATAAGAATGGCCCCAATAGATGTCCCAAAAACTGTCTTTAAGACACAATAAGGCCACTATGAATACTTAGTCATGCCAATTGGCTTGACCAATGCACCCTCTAGTTTTCAGGGATTAATGAACCACATCTTCCAAGAACACCTCAGGAATTCATCCAAGTGTTCTTTGATGATATCCTAATCTCAGCAAATGTTGTAAAAAGCATCTACTTCATCTTGAGTTGGCATTTGAATTGTTGGTGCAACATAACTCTTAGCTAAGAAGAGTAAATGTGTATTTGCTGCTAAAAGAGTAGAGTATTTAGAACATTACATTTCTGCTGAGGGTGTGTCCAGTGATCCTAAGAAAGTGGAAGCAGTAAGGTCATGGCATGAACCACAATTTATAACACAATTGAAGGGTTTTCTCGGATTAGCAGAGTATTATAGAAGATTTATCAGATGGTATGGAATTATTAGTAAACCCTTCATTGATACGTTGAAGAAGGATAATTTTTTTTGGAATGAGAAGGCTAGTAAAGCTTTCCAGCAATTGAAGGAAGCACTCACCACAACACGTTTCTTGATTTTTCCAGACTTCTCATTAATGTTTGTAGTTGAAACTGATGCTTGTAATATGGGCATTGGAGCTCTTTTAATGCAGAAGAGACAACCAGTTGCATTTCTCAGTAAGGGATTATCAAAGCAACATCGGTCTCTATCAGTATATGAAAAAGAACTCTTGGCTCTAGTCTTAGTTGTGAGTAAGTGGTCTTAGTATTTAACAACCGGACCAGTTATTATTAAAACAGACCAAAAGGCTCTCAAGTTTCTATTAGCGCAGAAATTACACACGGGGAATCAGTTGAACTGGATTACCAAACTAATGTAGTATGACTTTGAAATTGAGTATAAGAAAGGAAAGGAGAACAAGACAGCAAATATTCTATCTAGACTACTACTGGTGAAGGTTGATACAATGACACTCTCCACCATGAAGACTGATATGTTGGAATTGATTATGAAAAGTTGAGAGTTAGATGATGAGTTGCAGACAGTAATCCAGTCCCTAAAGGAGAAAAAGGATGTGGCAAAAGGTTACACTTTCATTCATGAGAAGATAAGGAAGAATGTGAGGTTGGTGGTAGGACCTGATGATCAATTGAGAAAAGACATCTTGCAACTCTGGCACAATACACCAGCAGGAGGGCGCTCAGGCATAGAAAACACTTATAGAAGGGTGTCTTCCCTCTTTTACTAGAAGAGCATGAGAGAAGAGGTACAAGACTATGTCAAAGCTTGTGAAGTCTGTCAGAAGAACAAGTATGATAATGCTCCCTATCTTGGACTTTTGCAACCCCTAAAGATACCCGTAGCTGCTTGGAGTAACATTAGTATGGATTTTATAGAGGGACTGCCCAAGAAAAAAGGAAAAATAGTTATTTGGGTAGTAGTAGACAGGCTTACCAAATATGCTCACGTCATTGGACTTTCCCACCCATACTCTGCCAATGATGTTGCCAAGCTCTTTATAGACAATGTCTTCAAACTTAATGGAATACCAGAGGATATAATCAGCGTCAGAGATCCAATTTTTACCAGTAAAATGTGGCAAGAACTGTTCTCCATGATGGGAGTAACTCTCAACACTTCAACAACCTATCATCCTCAAACAGATGGGCAGACAGAGATAGTGAACAGGTGCCTAGAAACCTACCTGAGATGCTTCTGCTCAAATCCCCAATCAGATTGGTTTCCGTTCTTAGGTATACAGCAGAATGGTGGTACAATACCACCTTTCATACTTCTATACAGAGCACTCCCTACGAAGCACTATATGGCCACCACCCACCTCTACATCTTCCCTATGTGGCTGGCGACTCTGAGGTAGAAGAAGTGGACAGGAGCTTGTTTACTAGAGAATTCAAGGTGCAATTGTTAAAACATCACTGAAGAGAGCTCAACAAAGGATGTTAGCACAAACTAACAAACACAGGCCGGATAAACAATTTAAGAAAGAGGATTGAGTTTATCTAAAAATCCAACTTTATAGGCAGATTTCTATGTCTGGGAAGCACTTTTCCAAATTATTTGCTAAGTATATGGCACTTATGAGATCCTACAGAAAATTGGCACTGTGGCTTATAAGTTATCTCTTTCTTCCCAGCTTCTCTTACACCCCACCTTTCATGTATCTCAACTCAAACCATGCTATGAACCTCCAACAACCATTTCTCACCCTCATGTCATAGAGTTATCCGGTCCTTACTGTCCTCAACCTCAGAAGATCTTGGATAGGCGCATGATTCAAAAAGGAAATAAAACAGTAGCCCAAGCGTTGATCCAATGGAGGCAGCTGCCCACAGAATTGGCTACCTGGGAGGATTACCAAGCTCTAAAGATACGCTTTGCTACCTTTCTTCCTTGAAGACAAGGAAGTCGTTAACAAGGGGAACTGATACAGTGAAGAATTGAAATCTGCTTAGGGAGTTGTACGTAGAGCTTGCGGGATTGTAATTAACGGTTAAGTTGATTAGAAGTCTGCATAGGTAAAGTTTTGAAAGCAATACACTTAAGTCCATTAAGTATCTTTTCATATTTCCTTTAGTCCCACATAATTAAGTATGTTATTTCGTCAATTTGTGTGTATTGGAGGCATATATATCAGCGTACTTGTCCATTACTCATTATGAATGAAAATTCCATTTCTCTTTTCGTTTAACTTTATCTTTTAGCTGTAATATTTATTCTTCTTTCGCTGGAACCTAGCTGCCGCAGTAAACTTATATAAATTTTTAAAAAAAAATAGTAATATAACCACTAGGTAAAGCACCTAGTGACCAATTCTATTCATAAAAAAACTAGCCGATCTCTGCACTATTACAATGTAAAATACTAGTGTTTAAAACTAGACTAAAATTAAAATATGTCATATTGAAATTTAAAGACTATCCCAATATGAGCTTACAAACTAATATGTAACTGCAAAGAAATATTCCAACTTGCAATGTTCTCTTCACAGTAGATTCTGCCTCAAAAAGAATAACCAGTAGCATACAAAAATACAGCACCAAAATTTGCTGGAAAAATGCATCTTAATTTTAAAAGTATAATAATCATAAATCACATGACCTTTTATTGTAGTGGCTATAATAATGAGAAAGTGACTATGATTTCTTATGAATACGATTTCATGCTCAGGCTCCTTCTCAATTCTGTATGTATAAACGATTCTTCAAAGTAATTTATTCATACCAAATTTTTGAATAACTGTTATTAAACTTATATTTATACGAGTAACAATTCAGTTAAGAGAAATAGATAATACCCCTTGAGCAATCTCTGTGTTGTACTACAATCACCGAAGACTGCTCCAATCATGTAAAGAATGTCAACCAGCAATTTCTGATGAGCAATAACTTTGACCTTGTGAATAAAATAGAAGTAATTGGTTGGATTTCACTTTCAAATATTATTAAATTTTGAATTTATATTTCAAACAAACATGATGATAGAAAGTATTTTACCTGCTACCAAAACATTAATTTTCAATAGTGGTAGCGACCACTACCTTCTGTTAAAACAAACATATATTCAATTAACTCATAGTTATCATATTAATCAATTAATATTTAATGGTACTCGCTACTCATTATTTATATAAAATCAAATAATTTAATTCTAACAGTTAATATTATAAATTATAGCCGAAATACCTATCAACTAGTAACTATGATAATTCATAAATTAAATTTATGAACATTTGATTTAAATACCTGATGTTTGTAAATATTTACGTATTAATTAAGTTTGTAATACGGGATCTAAAGACTAAATTATATAATCGCAAATCGGTGATCCGAGTCGGCAACATATACAGCAATCCGAGGTAAGCGTACAATTTCTCATGCACGTTGTACAAGCACTACATGCAGTATTTGCCTTCAGAAGAAAGCAACTGTTCTCGATCTTCTTTCTCTTTTCTTCGACCTTTACCCATTCTCTCCAAATATATAATACATTCTACATCTATTTCTACACTTATATATAACACTTTACCAAATTTCTCCTCCATTCCAGGTACTCTCTCTTCAACTTTTTGGTTTGAATTATAGCTTTTCAATCTGTGTTTATTGATTGGTGTTCTGAATTGCGTGTAACTTTTTTTTTTTTGATCTTTTAGGGCTTTTACGGTTGATTGAGCAAATTTGAGAAATTTGGAGGGGTATTTAAGGAATGGAAGCATCATCGTCATCGCCGGAGTTTGATTACTTGTTCAAGCTGTTGTTGATTGGGGATTCAGGTGTAGGGAAGAGTAGTTTGCTCCTCAGTTTCACTTCTGATGCCTTTGAGGATCTTTCTCCAACCATTGGTAAGTCTGTTGTTAATTATTTTTCATTGTGTTAATATCCATGCTTAAATTTTTGTTTTTTTCCTGATGTATATTAATTTTACAGAGACTATACTGTTATAATGATGCATGTTGCAGTTTTTGGTGAAAAGTTGTTATAGAGACGTGAAATATAACAAAAAAAAGTTCGGCTCCAAAGAAAACTTGCTTATTATAATGAAATGTTATCACGGAGGATGGATGTTATAAAGTGATATTAGGTAATGATTAATTTGTGAAAATGGTAGTTTCGACGGATAGAATGAGTGAAATGGTTTTTGTGTTTGGTGGGTGGAAATTAGATAGATTAGTTAATGGTGGGCTCTTTTAGCTGTTTATGCACCAGAAGTGTGTATTGGTCAATGGTTCTATTACTTTTTGAATGTATCTTAATAGTTTGGCTTAATGGATTTGGTAATCTCCAGTTACATAAATGAAAAAGAGTTAAAAGGGTTTCTATGAAATGATTATGTGCCTATATCAGGAGTAAAGCATGCAGTTGAGTTAACTCAATATGAGTAGGCGAAGTGGTATTGCATTGCCCATTGCTATAACTAGATTATGGAATGTTTACTGCATGCTCGATGTTGATTTAGTGCCGCATAAGCAGCAACAAAAGAAACAACAACAACGACAAATCCAGTGTAATCCCACAAGTGAGGTCTGGAGAAGATAGATTGTACGCACTCCATACCACTACCTTCAGGAAGGCAGAGATGGTGTTTCCGGTAGACACTCGGCTCAGGAAAGGTAAAAGGAGGGCAGCAACAAGCACACCAATCAAAAAACCGAAGAAAAAATACAAAACTAACAGTAGTTACTATAATCAGAAAGCCGAAACCCAGCAACAAAAGAAAAAAAAAGAATATTTGGAATTTAGCTGGCAGTGGGAAAAGTTTACCAATCTATCAACAACAACATCAACAATAGCATACCTAGTGTAGTCTCACAATTGGGGTCTGGGGAAGGTAGAATGAACACAGACCTTGCCCCTACCTTGTGCCGGTAGAGAGGTTATTTCCAATAGATCCTTGGCTCAAGGTAATCATAATTCCAACAGTTTATAAAAGAAATATGGTAGCGAAGAAGCCATGAAAAAAGAAGCGATACAACAACAAGTTAATGAGAAAACCGAAGCAGAAAAAATGTCAAGTATTAATATAAGTCTAAGAATAAAGAAATACAAGAATAATATTAGTACTACGGCTAGGAAAGGAAATATGCTTGACTTCCTATTAACCTTCTACAATAATTCTCGACCTTCACACCCTCTTATCCAGGGTCGTGTCCTCGGTAAACTGAAAATGGGTCATGTCCTGCTAAATCATCTCTCCCAAATACTTATTCGGCCTCCCTCTACCTTTCCTTAGACTCACAAACACCATCCTTTCACACCTCTCACTGGAGCATCTAGTCATCTTCTCTTCACATGCCCGAGCCATCTCAGCCTCACGTTCCTCATCTTGTCCACCATGGAGGCCACACCTACCATGTCTCGAATATCTTCATTCCTGACCATATCTCTTCTGGTTTGCCCACACATCCATCTCATTATCCTTATTTTCGCTATTCTCATTTTTTGGACATTAGAATTCTTGACTGGCCAACACTCTACGCCATACAACACCGTCGGTCTAACCATCACTCTGTAAAACTTACCTTTAAGTCTTTGTGGCACATGCTAATCATACAGGACATCAGATGTGGGCCTCTATTTTATCCACCCCACTCTAATATGATGTATGACATCATCGTCAATCTCTTCAGGAGTTTGGCATGACTCGGTGAAACTGATCACTCTGTGTTTTATCGGTGTTCTGCTTCAAATCTCTGTATTTGTTTGGTCGTTTATGTTGACGATATTGTTATTACCAACAATGATCAAGATAATAATACTAAGTTGAAGCAACATCACTTTTAGCACTTTCAGACTAAGGATCTGGGCATATTAAAGTATTTTCTGGATATTGAGGTCGCTCAGTCTAGCACAGGTATTGTGATCTCACAACGGAAGTATGCCTTAGACATTCTTGAGCAGACAGGAATGATAGGTTGTAGACCTGTTGACACTCTTATGGATCCGAATTCTAAACTTCTGCATGACGGGGGAGCCGCTCAGCGATCCCGCAAGATATAGGTGGCTGGTTGGTAAATTAAATAACTCACAGTGACTAGACCTGACATTTCCTTTCATGTGAGGTTTTTGAATCAGCTTATGGATTCTCCCTGTGATAGTTATTGAGATGCAGTTGTCCACATTCTTCGGTATATAAAATTAGCTTGAGGCAAATGATTATTGTTTGAGGATTGGGGCCATGAGCAGATCGATGGATACTCAGATGCTGATTGGATAGGATCACCTTTTGATACACGTTCTACGTCTGGATATTGTGTTTTACTAGGAGGTAATTTGGTGTCTTGGAAGAGCAAAAAAAAAAACAGAATGTGGTTGCTTGGTCTAGTGCAGAAGCAGAATATTGAGCAATGGTTGTGGCAACGTGTGAGCTAATTTGGATCGAAGCTGCTGAAGGAGTTTAAATTTGGTGAGATTAGCTAGATGGAACTTTTGTGTGTGATAATCAAGATGCTCTTCATATTGCATCAAATCCAATACTCCATGAGAGAACTAAACACATTGAGATTGACTGTCAGAGTGTTAGAGAAAAGATACTCTCAGGAAATGTTGCTACAAAGTTTGTGAAATCGAATGATCAACTTGCAGACATTTTCATCTAGTCCCTCATTAGTCCTCGTATTAGATGTGTATGTAATAAGCTCTGTACATATGATTTGTATGCATCAGTTCGAGGGGAGTGTTAGATACTTATATAGTTAATATGTAATTAGTCCGAGCCCTACATTGATAAGAGTAGGATATGTATTATGTACAGTTATAAATAGGGCTTATTGGATTACATCAATAATTTATTATGTGCGGGCACACCAGGTTAGATAGGATCATAGATGAGGTTATTCGCGACAAGGTGGGTGTGGCCCCTATTGAGGACAAGATGCGGGAAGCGCGGCTTAGGTGGTTTGGGCATGTGAGGAGGAGGAGCACAAACGCCCGGTGAGGAGGTGTGAGAGGTTGACATTGGAGGGACTATAGAGGGTAGAGACGGGCGAAAAAAGAGGTGGGAAGAGGTGATTAGGCAAGACATGGCGCAACTTCAGCTGACCGAGGACATGACCCTTGATAGGAAGGTATGGAGGTCGAGGTTTAGGGTAGTAGAGTAGGTAGTCTAGAGTGTTCATAATAGTAGTATTGGTACTTAGTCTCGCTTTCTGTTGGTAGTAGGTTTTTATGACTAACCGTTATTTTCTTTCATTTTGATCACTTCACTATCTTATTATTTTTATTCTGCTTTAATATGCCTTTTTGGTACAGTCTCTTCTTGTCTATATTTTCATTAATTTGGTGCTTATGCTTTCCTGAGATAAGGGTCTATTGGAAACCACCTCTCTATCCTCACAAGGTAGGGGTAACGTCTGCGTGCACACTACACTTCCCCGACCCCACATGTGTGGATAATACTGGGTATGTTGTTGTTGTTGTTGCTTTCTCACAGACACACTCCTCCTCACCCTCATCTCCACTATCCTCTCCCAAACTTTCATAGCGTGACTTAGCAGCTTGATACCCCTGTTTTTGTTGCAATTTTGAATCTCACTCTTGTTCTTGTACAACAGAATCATTGTACTCCACCTCCCTTCTTTGGGCATCCTTGCCGTCCTAAAAATGACATTAAACAACCCAGTTAGCCACTCCAAACCTGCCTTGCTTATGCTCTTCCAGAATTCCACCGGGAACTCGTCTGGACCGATTGCTTTTCCCCTGCTCATCTTACACATAGCCCCCTCAACCTCCTTAGCCTTTGTACACCTACAATTCTCAAAATCTCGATATCTCTCGGAGCTATGGAAGTAAGTCTGCCATCTTCGTCTATGTGCCTCTTCCACCAATACTTTGCCTTCCTCGTCTTTGATGCACTTCACTTGGTCCACGTGACTCGCCTTCCTCTCCCTCACCTTGACTAGCTTGTATACTTATCCTCGCCTTTGTCCCCAAGTTCCTTATACATGCGTTCAAGCGCTGCCGTTTTCGCAGCCGTAACCCCTAACTTTGCCTCCTAAACCGTCCTCCTTTCCTCTTCGTCTTCACTCTCCACTAACTTCAAATGTGCCCTTCTTGGCTTCTTCTTTCCCATGGACCTCTCCATTCCACCGCTACTCCCCTCTGTATCCAGCAAAGTAACCCTTCGATACCTCTAAAACCTATCTAGTTGTGTCACTAATGCAATTCGTGTCTCGTGTTTGCACTACTCCTCCAGCCCCTTTATCCAACAACTTCTCCCTTAACTCCTGAGATTTGTCCTTAGTCAAGGCTCCTCACTTGATCTTTGGTTGACCATACATGCCCCCTTTTTTCTCTTCCTCTTAATCTCTAAGTCCATTACCAAGAGGCTTTGTTGGGTCATGAGATTCTCAACCGGGATAACCTTGCAGTCCGTGCATAAGCCTCTATCACACTTCCTAAAGAGTAAGGCTTCTCCATACCCAATCTATCCTATTTTATAAAAGGCTTTTCCGTGGGGTCGGAATTGACATATATATTCCTGAGTGGAAATGCTGCATCTTTATGTGTTAGAGTCACGTGTACATGAAAAATAATGAATACATCTGAAGAAAGATATCCTGGGTAAACTATAGTGGCTTCTGAATTGCACGTTGCTGTATTCCGCTGTGCACTTGATATGCCATAGAATGTATCAGACAAATAATGTGGTGCTGTTTATTGCCTGGAACGAGTTATAGATTTTTTTGTCTCTCATATTCTCAGGTGTGGACTTCAAGGTAAAACATGTTACCCTTGGGGGGAAGAAGTTGAAACTTGCAATATGGGATACAGGTAATCCTGTTATTTTATGTCCTATCTTCAGCAATGTCATGTTGTAGTTTTGACTGCTTAGTTGCATAGCTTTTTTATTAAGTAGCATTCTTTCCAACCCCTTAAAACAATTCTTATGCAAATATATAATATGTGACACCAAATGGAGGTTTGTGATTGTTTACGCCTGAAGTTGGATATGGTAGACACGGTTTTCGTGATTTCCATCTCAAAACTAAAACAATTTCAATCTATGAAGCACATTTTTCATCTCAAGTAGAATGATGAAATTGAAATTTACGTACCCCTTAAATAATTTGATATAACAACTTGCTTGACAGAAATTCGCCCTGCCAGTTGCCAGCTGTTATCCAGAATACAGACAAGTATATGTGATTGCACGCCTAATATAGGAGCATTCAGTACGAAGACTAGAACAGCTTTGGTTTTTACAGGCAATTGAACTCGACTTAAGAGACCAAACTAAGCATGTATTAAATTAATGACAAGCTAAGAGCGAGTAGATTCTTGTGCAACTCCTGGATGTTTAAGAGTTTTGAACTTTATGCTATTCAACTTTAATCAAACCTTAGAATCTTAGATTCTCTTTTGTAAGTTCAATCACAGGTTCCCAATTAGATGAATCAAATACAGTACACAATAAATAGCCCATCATACACGAAAAACTAGGAAGTAGAATGCAAATAAGTTGAGTTACATGTTGGGTTCAATCATAGTCCTACATTAACGAAATTTGGTCATAGTGAGTTTCTCCCCCTTTTTAGTCTTCAATTCCTTGCCTAAAAGTTTATTGCCCAAAACCCTCCTTGAAATTTTCTACATATATGTGAGCAAAATGGGCACCTGTGAATGCATAGCAGCACCTAGGTGCAAGGCTGGATTGCCTAGGCGCTGTCGACAAATTCAGAGAGTGATGCTTGTTGTGCAGTGCAGGCTTGGGGTTGTGGCACCTAAGCACTCTCCAATTAAAGTAAATTCCATTGTTCTATAAGAACTTTAACTTGAATGTTTTACCTCCAAGAGTTCTTCTGCAAAATATATTAAACCAAGTGAGAAGAACCTATATAGTGCCTTGAGACTTGGCAAATCTTAAGTTATGAATGTTGGATAATTGTCTATATAGTTAAAGCCAACTCATCACCAACTAAACCACCTCTCCTCCTTTGGAAATAAGTTGGTATCAGAGGATGCAGCTGATCGGCAAATACATTGCTTCCTTAAATATTTATGTCAACTTAATTCGAAAGTTGAATTCAGCTCAATGTGCCAGCGGGAGGTTTTCTCTAGCAAAATTATTAATTATAATGTAATGACTTTCTTGTTTGCAGCTGGACAGGAAAGATTTAGGACGTTAACTAGTTCATACTACCGAGGTGCTCAAGGAATAATCATGGGTAATTCTGCTGTCTCTTTTTTCTGACTTTGCTATTTGATTTGATGAATATCCATGTTATATAATCATCATGCTACACCTACTTAAATTGCTTGCTAAGAGACTGCAATGGTCACTGACGTCATGGCTAACATTAAGCTGGCGCAGTTTGTTCTGGCTTATATATGTCATTATGCTGCCTTATGTGTTAGTTCACATGCTTGGTGTAGCTTTAGGGGTCGTTTTGGTACGTGGGGTAAGAATAATAATCCTGGGATAAAGTTTGGATTAACTTTATCCCATGTTTGTTTTGGGGTATTAGCTAATTCCGGGACCATTTTTACACTAAAATAGTGGGATTAGCTATCTCATATAGAAGGTGGGATAATTAATCCATGGAATATCCTGGGATATCCCGCCATTGTACCAAACGACCCCTTAGAGTATTGATGAGTAGTAGTCCAACACTTTGAAAGATAGATCTAAGCAATAAAAAATGGAGGAAAAAGATTGTCTTAACTTTTTAGAAATGCTTCTTAGGAGAAGTACACGTCCATTCTTGTATTGTTAAGGGAATATAAATGGGAGTGAAAGAGAAAAATAGTGGTGGTGCATAAGACAGTTTTTTTTAATGATATGCTCGTGTATGTTAATTTGTAAGTACCATTTGGAAGTGTGTGCGCTTTCTTACTGGTTTCTTGTTCTAGGAACAGGTTCTATTTATTCTTCTTGGAGCAAATTCTATCACCCAACTTCCTTCCCCCAAGAAATTTTTGACGTAGTGCTTGTGGACTAATCTATCTTTGATTCAACAGTTTATGATGTAACAAGGCGAGACACATTTACTAATTTATCTGATATATGGGCCAAAGAAATTGACCTATACTCAACAAATCAAGACTGCATCAAGATGCTTGTTGGCAACAAAGTTGATAAGGTACCTTCCTTTTGAGATTCTTCTAGTAAGAGAACTTGGTCTACGGTATTCGCTTACGAGGAAAATTAAAGTTGCCATTCAATGTTGTCAAAGGTGAAAAAAGTGGCTGTTGGGGGTTTTAAGCACAAAGTGCACTTATGGCGCACACTTTAGTAAAGAAAGATGCACACGACAAAAATACACACACACACACAAAACTTAAACCGTGAACAACTATAATATGGACTGAGGAGTTGGAAAACTGCAAAGTGAAACATATGGAGTAAACACCATGTCAATCAAATTACAAATCATTTCGATTTCTAATTAAGATGCGAAGATGCAGTTTTAAATTTCCAAATCAAATAGGTAACTAATTTTCTTTTACTAAAGTTAATTTCTCATTTAATTCTTACTGTACTCATCTACTATTATATTTTCGCAACACTTAAGTATATAGCTCACGACCTACATTTATCTTGTAATACCCCCCTCATCAAGCCACTTAAGCAAGGAACAATCCTGCTTTGCACCTAGATTTAAGACTTAAGCGCAACTCAATCGAGCCTTCAATAACACTGGTCCCTGTAGGATCCCCCCCAAACACAATCATATACCCCCTAATCCCCTTATTGAGCAGGTGCATTTGTTGTTTTGAGTCGATTTTGTTGGTGCACGATGATGCTTGTGAATTCTCAAGGGATGTTTGACATATATGAACTTCTCTGCAGGAGAGTGAAAGGGTTGTCAGCAAAAAAGAGGGAATTGATTTTGCCAGGCAATATGGATGTCTTTTTATTGAATGTAGTGCAAAGACAAGGGTTAATGTGGAACAATGCTTTGAGGAGCTTGTGCTTAAGGTATGAAACATCCGAGGATCTTCCTCATATTTTCTGCATGTTATAAAATTTTGAATGGACTGGTCATTTGTTGTTTAGATAAATGGAGTCGCAATGAAACTTTGTATTACTAGTGATACCATATTGTCATCTTCTATGAGTAAGGAAGCTTGGTCGTTGCCTAGCTCACTAGAGTTATTATTTGGGATGGTATGGATAGGTTACATATTCATAGTTATAGCTAGAAAAACTGGAAACGATAGCTGAAGCAAATGTATACCAACATGACAGTGTAGCTTCTTTTGTGGTTTAGTTTGATAGATTGAAATTTACTTTCACTTTTTTAGTGGAACACCATTTTATTAGGTCTAGTGGGGCTGATATCACTTCAATAGAATATAGTTGATATCAACTCTTTAAATCTAAGACGTGTTCAATGTTACGTATTGAGTTTGGCTTAACAATAGGTTTATCATGTGCTACGAGATCTCCACCTTCATTTTAGATACTAACCGTCTTTACTGGTGATAATGCATGTCGAGTGTACCTAGCCTTACTATTCTCACCCCCCAAAAAAAAACCTTCTTGAAGGTATGTTTCGTGGGGATCTCCTTGGTACACAACTGGTGGTTTTACTTGGCACTTGGGGCAACATTAAACTGGACATGGAAACTTTTAAATTCTACGCTAGAAGAAAGGTTTTCCTCTGGGGAAGGTGGGTTTGAGGTGAACTGGACATTTATCCACCTGTAGTTGGTACTGGAATACACTCCTTTTCTGTTTTTGGGTTTTGCTTTTTGTGTGTGTGTGTGGGGGGGGGGGGTCGTCCAACAGCCTTGCTAGCAAATATTATCTCAATGAACTGTGGTTTATGGTTTTATTATTGCTTCCTGGAGCATCCTCCATGCCGTATGAAGTTCAGTTTTATTTTATCTCAGCTGTCATGTCTTTGCGCTATAGTTTGCCCAACTTTAACGTCGATTTCAATATAAATGAAGCCTGTTCCAGTTTATAAGATGGGAGTCCCTTTTACTCCCTCTGTATCAAGGAGAAAAGAGAGGGGCAAAAAAAAAGGATGTCTCGGTTGTGAGCATCATAAATTTTGGTTTTGCAGATAGTGGACACTCCAAGTCTGTTGGCTGAAGGTTCAGCTGGTGTCAGGAAAAATATATTTAAACAGAAACCTCCAGAAACTGATGCATCAACAAGTGGCTGCTGTTGAGATGACTGTTTTCCTTGATTGCTTCATGCTTTCACATCTTTGGTTTCCTTTTCGTTGTAAAAGAAGATGATGTAATTACTTGGAGGTGGCAAACTGTGTTTCTGTTCTTCACGCTAGTAGTTCTTCTATCTGAATAGTCTTCTGTTGTCCTCGTCTTTAATTTGATATGTGAAGAAGATGAAGTGAAAAATTGAAGTTTCCAGAATGACTGTGATAATGAAGCTCTTTAACTTTTTTAATTTTGCTTTAATCCTTTCTTGAAATATGTTTGACAGTGTATTTTGAAATTGTCACAAGACTCATTTTGCCAAGCCATGACAACATATATTGAAAAAAATAGTTGTGTGATTAAAGTGCTACTCAAAATAAGTTTTTGGAAGCCGAAGACTTTTCATCCTCGATCGTTTTGATATATTCTTCTGTACAGTAAACAACCTCTGCTTGCGACAAAGGGAAGTGAGTTAATCATATGAGTAGGTAAAATAATCCAACCAAACAGCGACATAATGCTAATTTGGACCTCTTTTGCTTTCTTATTTTCCATTTTTTCTTCTCTCCTCTTTCTTTCTTCCGTCTTTCTGGAGAACTAACACTGTGAATTCATGGATGTGTGCGAACTCAATTTTTGAGTCTGAAAACTAATCAAAACAAGAAAAATGTTACGAATAGTAATATTCGATTTCAAAGACACAATGAATGTTACAGTCTCTATAATCTCCTTATTCTTCTCCACAAAAAATATTAGCTATCTTGAGCTTGACTTTGATTCAAAGGGCTTGAGAAGGTTGATTTTGAATCTTCATCTTGAATTTATAATTGAATTATCGCCATGAACACTTGGGTGAATATTGCATTTGGATTTTACGCGAAGGTCGCGCTTGGGATCTTGATTTGTAGTATCTCTTACTTTAGGTGCTTGTAGAGAAATCCTTGAACTACTATTCTTTGGAGTTATCTATTGTAACTTGCTAATGTTTCTTGTCCGCTTCTAGTCTTATGGAGACCTCTATAAATAGTTGCCGAAAGTGAAGTAGTTTTGAGTAGGTAGATTCTGTTGGGTGATTTGATTAGTCAATTGAATTACCAACCAATCACATGATGATAAGCTTGTTTTTTAGGCCATTCCAAAACATGTAACTTGTGTATGTGGCATGTTCTCGTTGGTCTTTTTCTTATTTGACTTAATATGCCATATCGCTCGAGTCTCAGTGCAGGGCATGATTCCATTGACTATTTCATTTGAACTGGGCCACATAATTTGACATGTGATATTAGTCTGAGCTAATCAGAAAATTGAGGAAAAACTATAATTAGTCAATATTTGAGAAAAAAATTCAGAATCTTAGCAGGAGTAAGTTAACAAAACTGCACTGAATTAACTACATTCCTAATAGAAACATAATTAATTAATGAACCTCTCAATCCTTCCCATGTTCCGTTGCTTATTTTTACTATAAGTCCTAAAAATGCCAAAACGTAATTAATGTGATAAGTTACTGCATTTAGTTGATTTATAGGAAACAAGATTGCACAACCACTAGACCACGTTATTGTTCATTTTGTGCGGGTAAGTTTTTACCATTTTCTATTGCCTTTTTTCTTATTTCCTTTTTCCTTTTTGGTTTTCCCCTTTTAGTTTATCTTTTTTTTTTAATATGAAGAAGAACATGATTTTTAAATATGGAACGTGATAGGAGGTTTTCTTTACATGTTTATTTTTATTGTTAAATTTGATTCCTTTCATACTCCTAAAAATAATAAGTATCGTTTCTCTTTTATATATATATATATATATATAATATGTGAAGTATATTATAGTTGTATAAATATTATTATATAGTATACTACTTGTATATTATATTATATTATATACAACGTATATATAACTACTATATACACATTATATATACTTATCTGGATATGCATAGTGATATATGATGTTTTTTGGGCATATAATTAATCTTATTGTTATAAAATAATAAAAGAAGAAGAACAATATTGCAGAGAAAGAGAGAGGGGAAATTTTTATTGAATTTGGGATGAATTACAATGGAATAGAACCCTCTATTTATAGGGAGAGGTTGACTTAGCCACCAAGTAATAGACCCTAGAATCTCTCTAAATATGGACATTCACCATAAATAGAATTCTATTTATAACACTCCACCTGAATGTCTATTCAACAGATAATGTGCCTCGTTAAAACCTTAACTAAAAGAAAACCCAATGGGAAAAAAAATCTAGAAAAGGAAAAAGAGTACACATGTTTAGAAATGCGCCTATTGGTTGCCTCGTTAAAAACCTTGCAAGGAAAATCCAGCGGGACAAAACCTTGTAAGGGAAAAAGAGTGCAACGCGCATTAACTCCCCCTGATGAGAGCATCAATTCACATCCTTGAGCCTTCGCATCCCGATCTTGTACACTAGCTTCTTGAAGGTTGACGTTGGTAGAGATTTTGTGAACAAATCAGCCATATTATCACTTGAACGAATCTGTTGCACATTAATATCACCATTCTTTTGAAGATCATGTGTGAAAAATAACTTTGGTGAAATGTGCTTTGTCCTATCTCCTTTTATGAATCCTCAATTCAATTGAGCTATGCATGCTGCATTATCTTCATACAAAATTGTGGGTAACTTGTCACATTTCACACCACATTTGTCTCGAAAAAGATGTATTATAGACCTCAACCACACACATTCTCGACTTGCTTCATGAATAGCAATTATCTCAGCATGATTAGATGAAGTAGCCACAATTGATTGCTTAGTCGATCGCCAAGATATGGCAGTGCCTCCACAGGTAAATACATAACCTGTTTGAGACCGAGCCTTGTGTGGGTCAGATAAATACCCAACATCAGCATAACCAACAAGATCGGGACTACAATTGTTGCCATAAAATAAGCCCATATCGGTAGTCCCTTTTAGATACCGCAATATGTGTTTGATCCCATTCCAATGTCTCCTTGTGGGAGCAGAGCTATATCTTGCTAAGACATTAACTGAAAAAGTTATGTCAGGCCTTGTAGTATTGGCAAGATACATTAGTGCACCAATTGCACTAAGATATGGTACTTCAGGACCAAGTAGCTCTTCATTCTCTTCTTGAGGTCAGAATGGATCCTTATTCACATCAAGTGATCGAACAACCATCGGAGTACTTAATGGATGTGCTCCATCCATGTAAAACCGTTTCAATACCTTTTCTATGTAGGTAGATTGATGAATAAAAATTCCGTTTGCCAAATGTTCAATTTGCAAACCAAGACATAATTTTGTCTTTCCGAGATCTTTCATCTCGAATTCCTTGTTTAAATAATCAATTGCCTTTTGGAGTTCTATAGGAGTTCCAATAAGGTTTATGTCATCAACATATACGGCAAGTACAACAAATTCCGATGTTGTTTTCTTTATAAAAACACATGGGCAAATGGCATCATTTATATAGCCTTCCTTTAATAAATACTCACTAAGACGATTATACCACATTCGTCCTGATTGCTTTAGACCATACAAAGATCTTTGCAATTTGATTGAAAACATTTCCCGGGACTTTGAATTATGTGCATTTGGCATTTTAAATCCATCGGGAATTTTCATGTATATCTCATTATCAAGTGAGCCATAAAGGTAGGCGGTAACCACATCCATTAAATGCATGTCAAGCTTTTCATGGACAGCAAAACTAATGAGATAACGGAACGTTATAGCATCCATAACGGGTGAATATGTCTCTTCATAATCGACACCAGGCCTTTGTGAAAATCCTTGTGCAACAAGGCGTGCCTTATATCTTTGTACCTCGTTTTTCTCATTTCTCTTGCGTACAAAGACCCATTTATAGCCAACAGGCTTAACACCATTAGGTGTTTGGACTACAGGCCCAAAAACTTCACGTTTTGCAAGTGAATTCAACTCTGATTGGATTGCTTCTTGCCATTTTGGCCAATCAAGTCTTTGTCGACATTCTCCAACAGATTGAGGTTCAAGATCCTCACTTTCTTGCATAATGCTAGATGCAACATTATATGCAAAGACATAATCCACCACTATATCCACTCGATTCAAATTTGTCTCAATATCGATTGGATTTATTGATAGTTCCTTATTTTCTTGAGTCTCGGGCTCAGTGGATTCCTCATGAATCTCAGAATTTATTAAATCGTGGATTTCTTCATGAGATTCTTTCGTAGTGTCATTTTGATCATTTGTTTTCCTTTTTCTAGGATTTCGATCTTTGGAACCTAATGGTCTGCCACGTTTAAGGCGTGCTTTTGACTCATTAGCTATGACACTAGAAGATTGTCCAATAGGGACATCAATACGGATTGGAACATTCTCCGCAGGGATATGTGATTTTGTTATCCTTTTCATATCCGTAAATGCATCTGGCATTTGATTTGCTATTCTCTGCAAATGAATAATCTTTTGCACCTCTTTTTCACAAATAGAGGCACGTGGATCAAGATGAGATAATGATGGATTTTTCCACAAAATTTCCCGTTTGGTTTCACCAACTTCTCCCCCTAATTTTGGGAAAAGTGTCTCATCGAATCGACAGTCTGCAAATCGTGCAGTAAACAAATCCCCCGTTAATGTTTCGAGGTAGCGAATAATGGAGGGCGATTCAAACCCAACATATATTCCTAACCTTCTTTGGGGACCCATTTTGGTGCGATATGGCGGTGCTACAGGCACATATACTGCGCATCCAAAAATTCTTAAATGGGATATATTAGGTTCATGACCCAAAACTAATTGCAACGGGGAATATTTATGATAATTTGTCGGTCTGAGACGAACTAGCATTGCTGCATGCAAAATGGCGTGACCCCAAACAGAAGTGGGTAACCTCGTTTTCATGAGTAACGGTCTTGCTATCAATTGCAGACGTTTAATTAAAGACTCTGCAAGGCCATTTTGAGTGTGAACATGAGCTACAGGATGTTCCACTTTTATCCCAATTGATAAGCAATAATCATTAAATGCTTGGGATGAAAACTCAGCAGCATTATCAAGTCTAATAGACTTAATTGGATTATCGGGGAATTGCGCCCGTAATCGAATTATTTGTGCCATTAATTTTGCAAACGCGAGGTTGCGTGATGACAATAGGCACACATGAGACCATCTAGAAGATGCGTCTATTAAGACCATAAAATATCTAAACGACCCACTAGGTGGGTGAATAGGTCCACAAATGTCCCCTTGTATACGTTCCAAAAACGCAGGG